AAAGTTGACTTAGCCTGAACATTTGAACAAGCACAACTTACAAGTCCCACCCCCTTGCTCTCTGCTCTCTCAGCTCCTCCCCCACAGCGGAGCCTGCCGTGAACGTGCAGGGGTGCGTTTCCCCGAAAGCATCAACGTCATAGCTGTCAACATTGAACATTAAAAATAAGGGAGATTTCCCGGAATCCATCCCCAAAATAAGGGATTTTTTTTTTTACACAATTCTTACTATATGTTATTGTAGCCTATCCTATCTTTATATCCTTTTCATTTCTTTCTTTTTTTTTTTTTTGTTGCCTGGAAACGCTTCCAACACGCTTGCGTGTCGTAAAAAATAGGCGTCGGTTCTATTTATGCACGCGATTTCCACGCGGCTCATGCTGCGCCTGAGAAGCGCATGTCACGCAGGCAAGGGGGAACGCTCTAATCTGTTAACATGGGAGCCAAAATAAAAACCATTGACAGTAAAATAAAAATGGACACGCCACGCAGCTGAGACGCACGCAGCCAGTGTGTCTCCGGCCGGCGCGCGCGGCGCCGCATCCGAGGATATACGACTTCAAGCCGAATCTGTCCGAACTTGTAGCTACGTCTCATACAATCAGAGCGTAAAAATATATTACGGGATATTTTACGGGAAAATACTAAAACGGGAAGACAGTGAGAAAAGAGTCAAAATACGTGAGAAACCCGGAAAAAACGGGAGGGTTGACAGCTATGATCAACGTTCCGTCGTTATCTGCATAGTTAAAGAGTCGGTGTTTCCCGAAACCATGGTTCCAATGGACATTCGCAAACAGCATCGCAAAGTTGTGTGGTTTGAATTGACACTGCTAAGACACTCCTCCTGGCTCTGATTGGTTGTTTCTGACCAGGCACGGTGTACTTTTGCAATAGAGAGCCTAAGTCCCGCCCCTCTCTATTGTGCCACTGGGAGGAGCCAGAGAAGCTTGATTTTTTTTTTTTTCACAGATTATCTGTCTCATAGTATACTGTCAGGACATAATGACAGTTTCAACAAATATGTAAAAAATATTTGTTTACAAAATGTACCTACTGCAGCTTTAAGAAGTCTCTCTTTAAGGTATAGTACACACAAACATGAAAAACTTGTCATCATTTACTCACCCCCTTATGTCGTTCCAAAACAATGAAGATACATATGATAAAGATACATTAAATATCACTGAAATGAAGATATTTTAAATTAAATCGGAGAGATTTCTGTCCCTCTATTGACAGTCGACTCAACTTTCTTGCAAAGATTAAATTTAAATACCTTACAGGTTTGGAACAACATATTTGATGACAATATCTTTTAATTTTTGGGTGAACATTTAGGGTAAACCCCTTGTGAAAATTAGTAGCCTACCCTTACCATATGCTACTTAATACAGAAACAATAGCCTATTATTATTATAAGGAATAAACTTAAGTACAGTTTACTAACATGTTATTTACAGTTAAATGAAGGCATATTATAATTAAAATGTTTTATTAAATGTAGTTTTATGTCCCTCTTAATTCAATTTTTATGTATCATTTTTATAATTCTATTGTTTTAAATGGTAAACTACAATATACTTGAATGTCATTTCTATTGAAAATTAATAAATATGTAATTATACATTTTGTAAAGTTTATGGTAAATACTTTATCAAATAACACATATACTGTATATATATATATATATATATATATATATATATATATATATAATCAAATACTTTTCATGTGTTTTAGTATGTTAGGCAACACATCAAAACAAGTGTTTTTCTTTAAAACACGACAAAATAGTATTAAAACATATTGATCTAAAATGCACTTTTTAAAAGTGTAGGCACTACTTAAAGTGTGTTAATAAACAGTCATGAATCTAATCTCTTTAAAAACACTTAAATGGCCCTTTATGTCATTAATATTATCCATCATATAAGAGCATTTCTATTTCACAAGGATTTATTGTATTTTTGTGTGTACATGTGAGTTTCTGAGTGTGTGTGTGTGGCTCTTTAAATGGTGTGAGTAATTGCCTCTGAATGTCACCAGCTCAATTTTTCCACTAAGTAAAAATGTGGGAAAGTAAGAGAAAAAGCCTGATTCTGGAAAAAAAGGAAACCATCTGCATTTGCGTTATAGGGAAAGTACAGGCGTTTTACCAAACTCAACAAGCTGCAAAAAGAGAAAATGTTCCCCTTTGTATGGATAAAAGTGTTAAGAAAAATATACATTCTCCTTAGTCTTACTTAAAATGAACCATGCATTTAACTCTTTGAGCTGTGTTTCTCCATGCAATCTCATATTTACAGAAGTAGAAGATAAGTAGGTCAAGTGCAGAGAGAGAGTGATGGAGAGAAAGACAACCTCAAATGCTACTCTTTACCGGTGAGAAGGATCAACTTCATCTCCACTCAAAGACTGAAAATGCCTTGAGTGTGAAGAACTGAGATGACATAAGATCCACATGGTCAAGTATTCAGTACAGGATTTTACTCTATTATATTAAAGTAACAGTAACAATTCCAGATTATACAGGATATTGCATGATCATGTCTGACCACCAACAGATATTTTCATGAAATTGAAAATGGTCCCAAGAGTGCAACACAATAGGGTGCAATTTAAAGAGTCTGGACCAGCTAAAGAACGCACAAGAACGCCTTTTTAGGAGGGTTGAGGTTTTTCCCCATTGTAAACAAAAATGTCACAAGGCCTTCCAGGCCATGAGAAGATAATATAATGACTTTGGTTGGCAGGTGTTGGTGGTTGTTTATCAAAACAACCAATTGGTGATAGTATAATGCACGTTGTTCTTCAAGGGTAAGGCCCTCTTCTGTTTCGGTTTTATTCGCGTTTTTTTCAAATGACTGTTGAAATTACAAGGGATAGTTCACCCAGAAATTTTTTTTAAAAATATTTTCATTTATGTTCCACAGAAGAAAGAAAGACATGCAGGTTTGGAATGACATGAAGGCGAGTAAATGATTACAGAATTTCATTTCGGCTGAACTAGCTATTTAGGTAGCTGCTTATTGTAGACGGATTTCAGAGACAACACACAATGTGAGGTTTGTGCAAAAAAATAAATCAAGCTGCAAGATGTCTAGAAATATTGTTATCGGCAACGGCAAGACAGCGCAGTTTAAAACGCAAATTAGTAACCTTTAGCTGAATGTTTCTCTCTCTATATTTTGGTGTGTGTGTGTGGTAGTGAATGTAAGATGAGTGGACAGGCCTGTAAGCGAGCTGTCTTTCTCTGGGTTGAATAATGCATTTCTGTGACGTTCTCCTCCTCTCTCTCTCCTTACAGCCGTGTCTTACTTCTCTTATCATTAGTTTGCATTAACCTGACCCGATCATTCCCTCTCCTCCATTATCTCTCCTGCATGCTCTTTACTTGCAATCTCCATCTTTTCACCTCATCAGCCACTCTTACAGTCTCCTCAGTGAAGTACAAGCATCCACTGTAGAATCTAAGTTATATGTTTTCACCTCTGATCCATTCCATGACTCACCCGTCTGAACGTGTCCTGCCTGGAATTCATTTACTTAAGTAAAGCTGGTGGTCGTAGAATCCTCCCCCTGTTTTATATATAACAATTTCCCTCCATTCATCCGTCTGTCTATGGCCATTTCCTGTGAGATAAATGGAGCACAGCATCTATGGTATGCTGTTGTTTACCACAGGAAATCATTTCAACTCTTTGTAAAAACAAACTGAAACGTGCATGAGAGTAACGCAGGACATGATATGATAAAAGGTCTCCCTTGCATGTAAAAACTCATTACAGTTTTTGACCACAATTTTGTCCATTGCATGGTATCTCCTCCCAACGTGAATCTCATTGGCCTAAAATCTAGCTCTTCTGTACATACACTACAGTTCAAAAGTTTGGGGTCGATAAGATTTTAATTTTTTTTAAAAGGAATATCTTGTGCTCACCAAGGATGCATTAATTTGATCAAAATTACAGTAAAACAAAACGATAATGTGGAATATTATTAAAATTTAACCGTTTTCTATTTTAATATATTTTAAAATGTAATTTATTCCTGATGGCAAAGATTTTATGAGCTAATCCAGTCTTTAGTGTCATATAATCCTTCAGAAATCATTCTAATGTGCCGTTTCTTTTTAATAATACTAAAAAATATATATTATTATCGATATTGAAAATAGTTCTGATGCTTGATATTTTTGGGGAAACAAAAAGGTCAAAAGAAGAGCATTTATTTATATTAGAGCTTTTGTATTGTCACTTGATTAATGTGTCCTTAATAAAAGTATTAATTTGATTTTTTTTTTTTTTTTTTTTTACAGAAAAAAATCCAGACTTTTAACAGTAATTATATTGTCACTGGGTTAGGACACAATGGTTGCCCCATCCATTTTTTTTTTCAATTTATTTATTTCAAAATATTGTATTATTGTGAACAGATACTATTAATAGAGCATAATTTGTATTAAACCTGAAATATTCCTAAACATGCAATCATGGAAATGAGGTAAATTGAGTTTTGCATTAATGTTATTGTCACTTGTCAATGTTTTCGCTTTTGTAATTGTGATTTAATTTCCTATCATACGCAGACCAAATACTGCAGAAAAGAATTAAATATTATTTTTATAAGCTGCTTGACGAGAAGATTGATTACCAGCTAAAACTCTTTTTTTTATAAATCGGCAATTATTCTATAAAATCTCAGAATTTTGCCTTTATAAATCGCAATTGTGAACTCTAATGTGTCAAACACAGTATACCATCTTTTTTTCCAAAACCCATGTGGAAGGGGGACAAAATGGTGGTCTGAGGCTGAAGATTATTGAAATGTTGTACAATAAAAAACTATTTCAAACTTTCTCAAAATTCAATGCTTAATTCGGTATTACTTTCTGTTTTTGTGTGTGAAATTTACTTGGAAATCCTACACCAAATATTTTTCAGTGCAGTACCTCAGTCTTTTTTTTTTTTTTTAAATAAATAGCTTTTTTTGCAGTGTTTTTTTTTTTTTTTTTTTTTTTTAGGAAATGTGTGTGCAGAAAGGAAAGGGTGTTGGTGTTAGAGCCGAGAGGAGGGCTGTGGTCAAGTTTCCATGATTTGTTCAGGGGTGATGTTTGTTTCCTGTAGGCAGGAGTGTGTGTGTGATTATGTTTTACTCGACTGCAATGCTTTTGAAACCCTTAACTTTGGCATTCCTTGTGTGCGTGTGATTGTGTTTACTGGAAGGACAAATTCATAGCATGAGTTCACAGAGACGTTTTTTTTTTCTTTACTTTTCTTTCTTTTTTCTCCTCCTTCAAGGCTGTCCTCGGTTTGTCCGTCTGGTTCGGCCTCCTAGACACCACAACTGTGCCACGCAGTCCTTCCTCCACATCCCTCTCTCGCTCTCTTTTCCTCTCTCTCGCCGTGTCTCTCTTCCTCCGTCCACTCTCTCGGTAGTGGTCCTCTCTGCTCTCGTGGGGGAGGCTGGAATATCTGGTTTCCTGAACAATGGAAACTCAATCAGGAAATGGACCCGAGGTGTTGAAAGAAGGAGAGTACGCTTCTTCATCTCCTCTCACCCCGCGGCCTGCTGACGCTAAAGAGGACCTGGAGGAGAACAGGCACATTGAGAAGTTTGACATCCCACTCAGCAGTCTGAAGCAAATGTTTGAGAAACCGCCGGTGCAACATGTGGTGAGTCTTAGAGCGAAAGCGAAAGAAAGAGAGAATGAGAATGGAAAGTCAAATGATGAAGAGAAGGAGTGTGAGCATTAGGATATTGTTTTTATGATATCTTATAATTGGTAGCTGCAACTTATAGATTGATTGTAGGCATTCTAAAAAGAATCTGAACATTTGTTTAGGGATCCCTTTTTAGCATTTAAATGATCTGTTTTTGTACATTATTTGTTGTTGTTTTGTTGACTTCCAACAGTCTCATCTGTCTGTTAGCTCCTGTTTGAAAATGAAGTGTCTATATGCTAACAGTAACAGATAATATGTTGAAAGACATGCATAGTCAGTTAACTTTGGGATATTTTACAACAAACACACACTCTTTTAAGCACATTTACAGGTTAGAGAGCTAAACTATCATTCAAAGTTTGGGGTCAGTAAGATTATTAATGTTTTTTTTTGTTTTTTTTAATTGTTGACATAGAAACGCGTGAACAGTCAGGGTAGAATGCCACAGGTTGCCATCTCGTAATTATGTTGTTTTTATAAAATGTAAAATTGCATAAAGTTTCATCTTTTCATTAATTACACAATTATACACTATATGGCTGTTCTACCAAATGAATGAAATACAGTAAGTATCTTCAAAATCCATACCATTTATCAAAATCCATCTAAACTTGCCTAAATAATGTTATGACATTAATGTTCTAAATACAACATTTTCCAACATGACATCATGACTTTTGCGTAAACATACACGCCACTTTCAAGTCAAGTCACATTCAGCTATCCGCGTGTATGCGTGTGTATGCGTGTATGTCTACGCCGTTAAATGTCCGAGTGATTCCATGTGTATGTGCACGCCGTTAAATGTCCGAGCGAAACGAAGCAAAATGTACACATCTGGGGAGCGATATTTTTTTTCCGAGGATGGTAGGGGAAGACTCATAAATGGTATTAACCCCAGTGACGGGTAGGTTTAGGGACGGGGTTGGGGTAGGTCATTTATATATACAGTAATGTAATGTTAAGTCAACGGCGTTCATAAACACGCTGAAAAGCGATTATGCGTGTTGATAGCACGCCAAAAATGGAAATACGAATTAGAGCCAGACCGATATATCGGCAGGCCGATATTAGGCATTTTCCAAACTATCCGTATTGGCAGATATAATGGCCGATAAATGAATATTTCAAAAATAAAATAACTTTACACAGTCCCTATTGGCAACACTCGTTGAGTTGGTCACGAGACATAAGTCAACGGCGTTCATAAACACGCTGAAATGCGATTATGCGTGTTGATAGCACGCCAAAAATAGAAATACGAACGAATTGGCATACGAATTGGCATAGTGTCATACATACGCCATTTCATGACATCAGTCTGCATTTTCAGTCGTAATAAGTGAATCCATGGGTGCTTCTTAATATTCAAAGGCCCTGTCCCAAATGACACACTTCATGTGAACTTTTGGGTCTTGTGGACGATCAATGGCTGGCGCGTGTTTGTTATGTTCATGAGACCGTAGGGTGTCTCATTTGTCATTTTAAGTTTCAGAAGGGAGCGCCCTCGCGAGCACCCCCTTTTGTGGCCAATATGCGCCCTCAATGTACACTTTTGATGCAAGCTTTTCAGCAGGCTTCTTCCCGAAAGTCAAAGCAGCGCTACGTCACGAAAGTGCGGCTCGTAGGAAGACTGCGAGTGCTTAGGGTGCCATTTGGGACAGGGCCAAATGGATGCTTCCTCGTTTTCTTACTCCTCTGTCCTTCAGTCTGTGACCCGGAAACAGATCGAAATACACAGATGTATCCTCCCCTTGCATCGTAAGTTGGTGGAGCTAAGATGCGAGGAAAGAAAAAGAGGATGAACAAAAAAGAAATGAGAGCCACCCATGGAATCACTGATTTAACCGATTCGTTCAAACTGGCTGACTCATTCATGGAAGAATCAAGTGTCCACTGACTTTATGAATGGGTCATTGGATCATTGACAGACCTGTTGGAGGGCTATTGCCTAAGTTAGGCTTGCTGTATTGAGATGTTTAAATAGTGGTTTAATTTCACAGCAGTGACAAACAGTGCTGAAATTTGTCAGAGAGTGGCTCGTTGGGTCTCGCAGAATTATTATGAATAAGTTCTCAGACACACACTGGGAATTTATTGAGAATTGATGCCACGAGCCAAATTTAATCAAATTTTATTTAAAGGGCACGTATCTTGTCAGAGGCCAAAAGGGCATGTGCTTAAAGGGATACTCCACTTTTTTTGGAAATAGGCTCATTTTACCACTCCCCCAGAGTAAAACCGAGTTATTACCGTTTTCGAAATGTATTCAGCCGATTTTTTTGATATTTAGAAGAATATCAGTAACCGGACAGTTTCTGGTCTCATTGACTTCCCTACTATGGAAGTCAATGAGACCAGAAACTGTCTGGTTACTGATATTCTTCTAAATATCAGAAAATCTGCTGAATTGATTTGAAAATGGTAAAACTCAACTGTTTAACTCTGGGGGAGTGGTAAAATGAGCCTATTTCCAAAAAAAAGAGAAAAAAAAGTGGAGTATCACTTTAAGTACAACTTTGGGTCTATCTGTGCACGCTGCTGCTTTCTATTTCTGTAATGTCAAATTGAAATGCTGTGTTAATAGTTAGAGACAATGAATCGAATGGAAAAGTAACATGATCTGGATCCCATTCTTTCTCTGGACAAGTTTTCACTTTGGTTTCACTTGCAATAAACCTACGAATTTTCTGTTTATCAAAGCATACTTACAGATTAGCCACTTACGTTATCAAAGCAACATTAATCTAATTTCTAGAACCTGATCACTGGCAGGATAACATGCTCAAAATACCAGTTTAGGTCGGCATGATTTCCCATGGTACTTCATGCTGGTCTGGTCTAGTTTGGAATATAGCCAAGCTGTTTACCAGCACAATTTAGCTGGAGAAACTGGTCAACCAGCATAATCTTAATAGTGATACTGGGTAAACACCAGCACACCTGTATCCCATGTTGGTGACCAGCATAAAATCTTACTGTATGTTGGTGTTTTCAGGAGGAAAACTATTTAAGTGATTCCTAGGAATAAGCTACTGAAAGTCACCATACTTCAAAGAACGGATTTGGAAGTTTAGTGTTCATCAGTCACAGTTCAGTGAAGCGACACTGATGGGATGGCTGAGAATGGAAAATGACAGAGACAGGAATGAGAAATGAGTAAAACAAAAATGAAAATTGGAAGAGCAGACATGAAAGGAGTTAGAAAATATTAGAGAAAGAAAAGAGACAGTAGATTAAGAAAGCAGATCAATTTAAATTGTGTGTGTTTTCATACCTTGGCAAACTGCTCTGTGCTGGAAAGATCTTGTTTTGCTGGCCTTTTACTTAGGAACATTTAATCCCTTAAATTAAATTGTTGTGAGCTCACAGAGAGAGATACAGTGAGAAAGGTCACAATCTGGAAAAACAGAATGTGCAACACACACACACACACACACACACACACACACAAACACACACACACACACACACACATACGGGTTTTTGTTAATTACAAGGACACTCCAGCCCAAACCAGTCTGTTGGTGTATTAGGGGGACACCCCTTTCCACTTGCTCTACAGAGATGTAATGGGTCTCAAAAAATCTGATTTGTGCCATACAACATAGATTTCACTTCAGAATTTGGATACACTGAACACAATTTATAATATACAAACCTGACATTTTACATACTTACGGGGACAATTGATAATTAGATAGACAAGCCCCGCCCATGAAACAAAACTAAATTATAAGGACAGTCATTACAGTGTATTATTACGGGGACATGGCTATACACATACACAAAAGTGAAGGCATTGTGTATTAACAGGACGTCCCTGATTTATAAGAACATGATTAGACTCGGCACACGTCTGTGCACTGCAAACACACCCCATACCTGTGGCTCATACTGACAACAGACCAGAACACTTAAAAGTATAATATTTGTATGGTGATGTAAATATGCACCTATAAATTTTAAACAGTGCATTCAAGGACCTGCTATTTGTGGGATATATTCACATGACCATATGACCTTTTAACACACACCAGGACATACAACATTGTGCAAGGAGCAGAGTTTATTAGTGCTTGTTGTCAACATTAGTTGTTGGCCTGACAATTTTACATAAATCTCAAGGTACACTACAATCTGTCTTGTGTGAAAAGAAAAACAACAACAACAACAACAACTGTAAAATGCAAAGAGATGGAATTCATTTAGATAGATGTCTTTAATTTGTTTTCAGATATTTCTATTACTATTTCATAAACATAAATAGTAATAAAAATAGTTGGAAACAAATTAAAGAGATTGCTGTCAAGTCACCTTTATTTAAATAGCGCTTTTTAATATACAGATTGTATTAAAGCGCTTTCCAGAAATACAGTGATTTTCATCTAGTGCTGTACAGCAGATCTAGAAGAAAACAGAGTCATAGTTCAGCTTTAGTAATTTCTGTGATGGTTAATTTCGGTTGTAACAAAAGTTATTCATTTAGTTCATATAAATTCAAATATTTAGCGGCTCTGGAGTAAACCGTGATGTCATAGTCCAGCTCAGTTCAGTTCTCATATAATGATGTCAATGCAGGAGATCAATAATATTATTTAACACCATGTCCTAACTACATGCGACGTGATAAAATTCCAGCGACAGCAAGTGTGTCTGTCCACACTAGACGTGACGCGACTGTGAGACGCCACACGTCAATCAAAAATCACAGCCATTCAGAACAGCGTGTGGGCGGAGTCTCTCTGTCAAAGCGCACTGCTGGCCCGTAATCGCATTGGAAATGGGTAAGGACAATCAAATCAAGAAATAACATTATTAAAAATCAAACATTAACAAAATATACTCATTGACTAATTTTGTTATGAAGTACAGTTGTATGTTTGCATAGAATTCATTTTGAATGCTATATTATTATGCTTTCAAAATCTGAGGTAAATTATCCATTATCGCTTGTGGCATAGTGACCTATTTTTAACTAAAAATAAATAGTGTGTACTCATAACCAGTGTAATTTCTTGTAATCTGTGTAATCTGTCAGCCGCGACGTCACAGAAATAGGAACCGTTTCTAAATTAGAAACTTCGCGTGTCGCCGTCACGTCTGGTTAGGACAAAACTCTGATTAACATGGAAAAGATACCTTTTATCGCATGTCGCGGCGTCGCATGTAGTTAGGACACAGTGTAACATTAATATTAAAGAACCGCTGAACAGCTGTTCATTGTTTGTTCATGTAAGTTCACAGTGCATTAACTAATGTTAACAAGATTTTAATAAAGCATTAGTAAATTAAAAAAATTAACATTAACAAAGATTAGTAAATGCTGTAGAAGTGCAGTTTATTATTAGTTGATGTTAACTAATGTAGTTTACTAATGAACCTTATTGTTAAGTATATTTAAAAGGACTTAAAGTTATCAGTCCATTAAGATCTCCTTTTTAAACTTATGGTCAACTGTAATTTGATCAGTTTTTGGCCATAACATGAAAATAATTATCAGCTTATTGGTAGACACCACAATAACAATATTAGTCACTAATTTCTGTAATAAAACAAACTGCTGACATACCAAAAGCATTGGAGAAATGATCATCCTCAGGATGGCTTTCATCAGGATTACTGGCATCCAGTCATTCTGATCTCATCTTGAAGTAAAAGAGAAATAAGAATATGAGAAACATTGATATCTGTTTAAAAGGTATTTAACTGTAAAGTTACCTTAAGTCATGCACACACAATCACACACCAGTTTCCTTAAACCTCCCTATGAGTGTAAAAGATCCACTTAACCTCCTACACTATGATAGACCTTCAGTCTCAATGTCATCATGTGACATTGAATATTAGGAAAGCGGCCCTTTTCCATGGCTAGCAGAAACTTTGATATTTTAGCCAGCCCAGAAGTGGCTTCTGGGCTGTAATCGTCACGATAGATGTGGATATCATGTCCCAACAAGTTGGTGACCTGATCCACTACATCGTTTTTCAGGTTTAGGATCTGGGAGAGAGTAGCTATGTGTTTACACAGAAGAGTTGATCCAAGAAACTCTGGATTATGAGCTGCACATTGACCTGCATAGGCCCTAAGAGAGTCAGGGCCTCAGTAGTGACTCTGGCAAACCAGAATTCATTAGTGTCCAGCACTCCACATTCACTTCTCTTGCTGACCAGCAGTGTCAGGGCATCAACCATATCAGGCGAGAGAAGAACAGCAACCTTTCTTCCCCCTTTGGCTGCAGAGTTTCTGTTCAAGCCTGGCCCGTGGCAAGTGCTGTGCCTTTCTTTAAAGCCTTTGAGTAGCAATTTAAAGACCTCTCCAGCACATCTACGATCAATCAAGAAACAATCATTCTGGCAAGTGTTGCTTTGGCCATTTCTGCATATCTTTGAGATGCCATCTCTTTTAATTTTTGAAATGCTGTATGAGCATTTTACATTTACATTTAGTCATTTAGCAGACGCCTTTATCCAAAGCGACTTACAACTGAGGACTAAATCAAACAACTCATTGTGAAGAGGCAATAACAACACAAGAAGTGTTCAAAATACAAAGTTCAAACATTGCTCAGAGTAGCATAAACCAGGCAAGTAAGGATTTAAAGAATATGTTTGTTTGTTTTTTATGTTAAGTGCTCACAGAAGAGATAAGTTTTCAGTTGTGAATGCTGTCAGGGATTCTGTGTTCCGGATGATGATGGGCAGATCATTCCACCGGCTTGGAACCATGAATGAAAATGTTCTGGAGAGTGATTTTGTGGCTCTTTGTGATGGTACCACGAGCCGTCGCTCATTGATCGATCGTAGGCTTCTGGTAGGGAGGGATGTAGACTCGTGAGCGAGTGAAGGGAGCTGATCCTGTGGTCAATACGCACGCAAGAGTCAACGCCTTGAACTTGATGAGAGCAGCGAGTGACAGCCAGTGCAGAGAGATGATCATTTGTAGAGGTTTAATTGCACATGATGGAAGTCCAGCCAGAAGAACATTGCAGTAGTCAAGCCTAGAGATTACAGCCCGTTCTCATCCTTTTACGTCATATAGAGCGCTATATGACAAAACGGCGCTATACTACGCACATGGCACCCGTTATCGTTAATATAACACGCGAACCCAAGACGTTATAAATCCTTTAGCGTGAATATGACACGTACACCCTACCCCACACCTAAACTTAGCCCTCACAGCACGTGTTATATTAACGATAACGGGTGCCTTTAGCGTAGTATAGCGCCGTTTTGTCATATAGCGCTCTATATGACGTTAAAGGATGAGAATGCGTTGGAGATTACCAGGGCCTGGACAAGATGCCATGTTGCTTGCTCAGTTAGGAAAGGTCTGATCTTCCTGATGTTATGCAGTGCAAACCTGCATGATTGAGCTATCTTTGTAATATGGTCTGAGAAGGTCAGCTGGTCATCAAAGATTACTCCAAGATTTCGGACCGACCTTGATGGAACCCCATCATGGAAGAAGAATGCCATCGTGTTTACAACTGTGACAATGAGTGCTTACCAAGATTAACTAATTGCTGGATTTTCAAAACTATGTGAGGTTCGCAGCTCTACTGTTGCAGTAAACCTGCACGTTCTTGAAGAATTTAGATTCACGCCGTCTGTTATTGTAGGCACATCGATGTTACATTTGCACACCCCTAAACATGACATGGAACAAAACGGTCATTGGTTACCTTGCATGTCAGTCGGTCAAACGTCGACTTGGGCGGTCCATGACCAATTGAAGCTGTGATAGAGTACAGACCTCCTGCCGTCAGTCTGAAGGTATCGCCTCCCGAGATCACCCCAACTTCAGCCATGTGAGTTTTCAAATGGCTCATCTGAAAATAAGAAGAAACTTTACATACATAAACACTTCCTCTAAGAGTTATAAAACATTGTTAAACCCCAAAAATCTCAAATGTGTCTAAGGCATAATATATAACAGTAAATAATAGGGGTTTAACGGTACACGTATTCGTATTGAACTGTTTGGTACGAGGCTTTCAGTTTGGTATGTATTTCAAATCAAATGATTTGATGGACCATTTTTCCTGCCAACCAAAATTATGTTAGTATTTGCACTGGCGCGACCACCACAACACTGCCCAACTGATGCAAACGTGATGAAAGCGGAACGAAACTGCGCAACTCATTTGTGCTTAACGAACCGTTACGGGTTTGGACCAAATAAAATAACCTTTGTTATCCCTATTCGTAACTACTACAATATTACATTTAATTTTCTTTACAATGAGCTTTATATGCTACTGAAAAACTTTTTTTTACAAGTTTTTGCTTTATATGCTGCTAAGAAGAGTCAAGTATAGCTCCATCATTGTTCAAATTAAAAAAAAGATACTTTATGATGTTAGTTTTAATAAATGAATACAAATTTGAAAATCA